CACTGCTCACCAGCAGTTCTTAAATATCATAAGCCTTAATACTGCCAAAGGGTGAAATTGCACTAAAGCTTGAGTTCTCTGGAACATAATTAAGACCCTAAATCTAAAGATATATTATCTTTAAAACTGATCCTCTTTTTAAAAAAATCCTCACCTGAGGATATTTTTTCCATTGATGTTTTTAAAAAGAGTGGGAGAAAGGAGGAGAGGGAAGGGAGAGAGAGAGAGACATCAAGGTAAGAGAGACACACCAATTGGTTGCCTCCAGCACGCACCCTGACGGGCCAGGAATCGAACCCACTACCCTTCAGTCGCCGGGGAAATGCTCTAACCACTGAGCAACTGACCAGGGCATAAAACTGATCCTCTTTCACACAATAATTTTACCCATTATTTTTGAAAACCATTATGTACAAAGATATATGCTGACTTTATTTCCAGTTATTTTTTAATATATTAAATCTTGGCTATCCCTGTTTCTGGAAATTGGAAGCTCAGCCTTCCTCCCTCTCTTCTTGCTCTTGGGATCACCTCTATCAGCTTCACACGAGAGCTCCTCCTCTCTCCCCTACTCCCACCCAAAGACTGTTTGGTTCCATTTTTATAGGCTTTCACTAAACTCAGAGACCCAAGATGAGAGAGGGCAAGGCACAGTACTAGTAGGCTCTATACAAAGTGCTTTGGTTATAAACTAAGAATATTTATCCCCCCCCCCCTTTTAAATATATTTTTATTGATTTCAGAGAGAAAGGGTGAGGGGGAGTTAGAAACATCAGTGATGAGAGGGAATCATTGATTGGCTGCCTCCTGCACGTCCCCCTCTGGGGACGGATCCCGCAACCCCGGCATGTGCCCTTAACCGGAATCAAACCCAGGATCCTTGAGTCCACAGTCCAACTCTCTATACACTGAGCCAAACCAGCTGGGACATTATTCCCCTTTTAATACCTGACTTGCCTAAAGTCATTCAGAGTTGGGAGATGGATTTGAGTTTGTTTGCCTCATTCTGAAGCTTAGTCCCTTTTCCACTTTCATCTTGCTGCACCCAGCACAAGGATCTTGTCACTGATGAGGAGTGCCTGCAGCCTCTGACCTTCCCATCCAGCCGTGCCAAAGGAGGAGACCGGTGAACCCTGAGTCAGACCTGGGAAACAGACACACCTGTGGGTGGAGCTGGAAATGCTAATGAACATGCCTCCAGGTTAGAGTATGTAGCTCTGCTATGCCAGTGCAAAGGCCGGGAAACCCGACGGACAAGGGAACCTGCCCTGCGCTTACAAGAGTCACCTGCCAGCCCACCAAGGAGGAGGAGGAGGAGGAAGAGGAGGAGACTGAGACCATGTAAACCAGACCCCAGCAGTAACTCAGAGCCACACAACTTGCCGTCCAGTGTGAGCTCCTTCGGTGCCCTGAGCCTTTTACTTTGTCTTGAATAAACTTCTCCCCTTGATTTCTCTCCTGAGGGTGGAGGGGTCAAGAGTCTCGGAGCTGGTAACAGATTGACTTTAAACATTTACCCTCCCTCCAATATTGAACTTTAAACCATGCAAATGCTTCCATTAGCTGCCCTCAACATGAAGCTCCATAAAGAACTAAAGGGCATTTGTTGGCTAAATTTGTCACCTCCAAGCATTCCTATGAAGCTTAAAGCCAACGTTTTATCTGGAAAGTAAACTAAGGAAACCAATGTGTTTATTAACCTAAGTCCAGTAGCTTTCTGTAGGTTTCATGACCTCACCAGTTCATACTTACCTCATTTGGGGTTTTGTCATTTAATTCCTGGTGTCCCTTTAGAAATCTGGTTCAGATTTGCAAATCAGAATCCCTGAGTTCAAATCCCAGCTCTACGATGATACCAAGAATTCCAACTTCATAGAACTGCTTTGATAAATAATGAGATGTATGTAAAACACTTAGAATGGTGCTTGGTATAATCAAGCTCAGTAAATATTAGCTAATTATAATTTTCTCCTTTCAGCCTGCCAGGTGGCTGAAATGTCTACTATTAGAAAATAGTCTTTGAGGCTTGGCAATATCTCTCTAAAAGCCACTATATAAATGTGCAGGTGTTACCTTTTGGTAGAAGAAGGTCCTATTAGCATGAATAGAGTTATACCTGCCACACATTTGGTTTCTGTTAGCACCATGGGAGGCAGTTAGACACACAAAAGCAGAGCCAGGCGATGGGCCAGGTACAGATGGTCACCAGGGTGGAAAGCCCCGGGTGCCTAGCAACGGGCACAACTGGGAACACAAGGACCTGGCCCCCAGGGTAACCCTTTCTCCCCTAGCACATCACAGGCCATTTGTTTTAGGCCCTCTGACCTTTCATATTGCTATGCAGTTTGGACCTTCCCATGACCTTTCTTCCCCTGACATGTTGCTAGTCATATGGGTTAGACCCCCACCCCCCTTAGAGGGAGAAAGAACAAGGGAGGGGGGCAGAGAATAGACCTTAAGCATTAAGCCCCTGAGATAATGAGGTTCTGTCCTGCATCAAACACATCTGTGCCTCAGTGGTGTTTCAGCTCCAGCCCCAGAAAAAGCAGCAAAACCAGATACACGGATATCAGGACCAGCTGCAATGACTAATGATCCCTTCCATGGCGCCAACCAATCAGTAGAGACCACAGCTCTGAAAGGACACACTTGGAAAGATGATGAATATTCTACTGGGATCCTCCCCTGAGACCTCCAGATGAATACCCACAAGTGTGGTGTCTGTGGGGCAACCTTCGCCTCTCCCCACCTACTCCCCTCTGGTGAGTTTTCCTTGCCTCAGCCCTAGATTCTAGGGCAGTGGTTGGCAAACTGTGGCCCCTTGAGTGTGGCTCTTCCACAAAATACCACGTGCAGGCGCACACATACAGTGCGATTGAAACCTCGTGGCCACACTCAAGGGGCCAAAGAGCCGCATGTGGCTCTCGAGATGCAGTTTGCCGACCACTGTCTTAAGCTCCAGGGGCCCTTCTTTTCCTTTGTAACTTGTTTCCTGCGCCCACATATTCTAGGGCTCCCTTCTACCTCTGATTTTCTAAATAAATTTTCTTTTATAATTCTGAGTCTTGGCTCTGAATCCTTTCTTAGCCAGAACTCAAATACCAAGATTGCTGACCCAAGGTCTGGTCTGACTCTACTGGTCTAACACTGCTGCCATTTCGCCACCAACAGCAGTTTATGAATAATGTGTGATTTGTTGAACAACTTACTTGAAACGAGGTCTTTTAGGAATGGGGCTCTGAGAGAGCTGGCATTTGGGCTGGAGTGGGGAAGGGCCTGCCCAAAGGGTGGCTATGACAGGAGAGTATTGAAATCAGGAGTGGGCCGCAAGGGAAACAGAGACATTTACTTTAGATGTCACACTTGGTTCTGTGGGGCTAAAAAGAGTACTTTTTGCCCTCACTAGATTGGCTCAGTGGATAGAGTGTCGGCCTGCAGACCCAAGGGTCCCAGGTTTGATTCCAGTCAAAGGCACATGCCTGGGTTGCGGGCTTGGTCAAATGTGCAGAAGGCAGCCAATCAATGATTCCCTCTCATCATTGATGTTTCTATCTCTCTCTTCCTCTCTGAAATCAATTATATATATATAGTACTTTTCCTCCCACTTTCTAAATTCTTCTAGTTGGACTAGTAATCAAATGAACAGAGACAGATTAACAGGAGAAAAATGTACAGTTTGTTATATGAATGCAAATTAGGGAGCGTCATAAGAAGGAGACCTGAAACTGTTGTATGTGGCGGGAAGGGCACTGGGTATCAGACTGATGGGGTCAGACTGGACTTGGGTTCAGCATCCTCAGTACTTGGGCTCTGAGTAGCAAAGAATTCAGAGCCAAGACCCAAACTATAAGTGAACATTTATTTGGTAAATCACAGAAGTAGACAAAGTAAGTCCTAGAGGAAATGGGCTTAGGAAACAAGTTATAGAGGAAAAGGAAGGGCCCTTGGAGCTCGGGAGTGAGAAAGCTAATGATAACAAGGCAGGGGGAAGGGAAAGGGGCGAACGAGGGCGTGCTCCTGGGAAGGAGAAAGCTCTGGGTCCTCCATCCTAAGGGCTTTTAGGTTGGAGATTTTAGGGGAGGCCCCAGGAGAAAATCTTAATAGACTATGGGGCAACCCTCACCTCTCCCCACCCACTCCCCTCTGGTGAGTTTTCCTTGCCTCTAGGCCCTAGCCTAGATTTTAATTACCTGCCTCCCCCAGGTACCCACTATGGAAACTAATTTCCATATCCATGTGATCATCAAATCTAACAGCTATTTCTCAGCCTCACTATGCCTTCTTGTAGTATATTATGGCCTTCACTGATTGATTGGTTGGTGCTAGGGCAGGGGGTCATTATTCAATGCAACTGGACTTCTTGTGTATGGAGAAGAGAAAGCATTTTATTTTATACAGGTGATATTTTTTTAACCATGAGAGGGCAGCCTTGATTAACTTATATTCTCCCAGCAGCCTGGCTGGGCAGCCACACTCAGGCAGGAGAGGAAGGCTCCAGAAACCCCAGTCAGCTGTGTCTTCGGGTGTTTAACTGCTAAGGGTTAGCTGCTCTGCAGGGAAGCACATTGATGGCTAGTTGCTGTTTCCTCCTAGGGCAGTGATGGCGAACCTTTTGAGCTCGGTGTGTCAGCATTTTGAAAAACCCTAACTTAACTCTGGGGCCGTGTCACATATAGAAATTTTTTGATATTTGCAACCATAGTAAAACAAAGACTTATATTTTTGATATTTATTTTATATATTTAAATGCCATTTAACAAAGAAAAATCAACCAAAAAAATGAGTTCGCGTGTCACCTCTGACACGTGTGTCATAGGTTCGCCATCACTGTCCTAGGGTCTCACATTGACAGTGAAACTTGGTATCCCAGTAACACCTGATATTCTTTATTTAGCAGGCAGATGAGGTGGTTGTTTTAAAGGATAGACATGCTTCAGGATTTAGGTGGCCACAGGTGCGGATGGATATTAATAAAAGTCAGGTCTGGGATTTGAGCCTCTGGATGACAAATATATACTCATAGTTGCGCAAACTTTGAAATATAGCTAGAGGCTGCCTGGAGAGGCTACGCCATGAAGAACGGTATGGGGCTGAAAGTGGGTATTAGCAGAGGATGTGTGTCATGGTCAATGAGCGTAGATGGTTAGTGAAAGAGAGGATCAAGCCTTATATTTTATATCCTTATTAGATCATTTACTCATTCATTCCTTCACGTATCACACGCTATTGAATTTGATCAGACAGAAGCACAATGTGAACGCAGCTAGCGAGATAAACTATGTAGTAAATGATCACTGCAATCCAGTCTAAGTGGTGAGTAAATGGGTGCACATAGGATCATGGGAGCTCGGTGTGGGAACTAACTTTGCGTGGAGGGTGGGTGTCGGCCAAGATTAAAGGTCTGGGCAGCATAGGGTTAGAACCAGGTTTGCTGCACAGGTAGGGCTGAGCACAAACCACGCAATGGTCAGGAGCGAAAGGGAGCTCCAGTAAGTCTGGATCGCAGGACTCCACACCTGACTCCTTAGCAGGGAGAACTTTAAGTACATTTCCATCTCTGTAGGGGCGATGGCATTCGGGAGCTGTGCCCCATTTCCTTTCCAGTTAGAGGTCCTCTGTGTCAGCTTTGCAAACTGAGCTATGAGAACCTATGCCAGCCTTCACTTGCTCATTTTACAAATCCATAATGGGACCCCCACTAGGCCAGTCACTGCGCTCCGAATCAGTGGTATGTGAAGGAGGTAAAATCCAATCTCTGCACTCCCCGTGCTCACAGGCAAGGAAGGAGGAACTTATAACTTGGTGGGCAAAGTTAATTTCTCTGTGCAGATGGGTAGAAAATCCACTTTGCATCACGCCCCTGAATCGAGTGATCACCGTTTTCCCTCGCTGGCTTCTTATCCAAAAACAAAACAGCATCAGGCTGAGCTTCGGAATGGCAAGGATGGAAGTAGTAGAAACCAGTGTTTCCTATCCGTCTCAGGACCACTTTACAAGGTGAATGCCCAGCCACGTTCCTTACAGACACACGGCAAACACAGTAACGTTAGTTCCATTTCAGAGCTAAATAGAAATGCTTTTCAGATCACCTAATGTTTTGTATTTATATGAGAGCTTCCCAACAGGCTTGGAGGTACATTCTAATTCATGGAGAAAAAATAGTTATTAAAAAGATAGTATGGGATAAATATTACTTTTAGCTCAGCGGTTCTCAACCTGGGGGTCGAACGACCCTTTCACAGAGGTCGCCTAAGACCATCGGAAAACACATATACAATTACATATTGTTTTTGTGATGAATCACTATGCTTTAATTATGTTCAATTTGTAACAATGAAATTGGGGGTCATCACAACATGAGGAACTGTATTAAAGGGTCGCGGCATCAGGAAGGTTGAGAACCACTGATTTAGGTGAACTAATTTATGTATTATTCACAACAGGATAATCTATATACATTTGATTGTATGCGTATTTTTTCAGAAGACCCAAGGACTTCTTTTGAGTTTCCCTGAGGTCGTTAGCCTCACAATACCTGCTCTAGTCCTGGGCCCTTCCTAAGAAAACTACGTACAGCCCCTTACAGAGCACTTCTTTGCTCTGAACACTTGACCTGGTTCTAAATCAGGGATTAGCAGACAATTTCCAGAAGAGGCCATAAAGTATATATTTTAGGCTTGCAGGCGACTACTCAACTCTGCCTGCCCTTGTAGTGTGAGAGCAGCCAGAGACAATACATAGCTGAACTGAAATACAAAAAAACCAGATGGCAGGCCAGATTTGGCCTGTGGGCCATGATTTGCCTGTCCCTGTTCTAAATAATTTGATTCCACCCTTGCAGCTAATTGGACTAAGAGAGGGGGCACCTGAAGAAAGGGCAGAAAATCTATTAGGGTCGGGGTGCTGAGCAGACTTGGAAGAGTCCTGGTATGAGACCTTTGTACCAATCAGTGTTTCTAGATAGATAGATCATAATTAGACAGATGATAGATGATAGAGAGATAATAAATAGATGATAGCTTAGACTGAATTGCAATGATCATTTATAAGACATATTCCCTCCCTAGCTGAGTTGACATTGTGCCTCTGTCTGACAATTCAATAATGCGTGGTAAGTGAAGGGATGAATAGTTGGGATCAATTGCAGCATGAATTAAGAGTAGTCAAGCCAAAACCAGTTTGATCAGTGGATAGAGCGTCGGCCTGTGGACTGAAAGGTCCCAGGTTCGATTCCGGTCAAGGGCATGTACCTGGGTTGCGGGCACATCCCCAGTGGGAGATGTGCAAGAGGCAGCTGGTCGATGTCTCTCTCTCATCGATGTTTCTAACTCTCTATCTCTCTCCCTTCCTCTCTGTAAAAAATCAATAAAATATATTTTAAAAAAAAAAGAGTAGTCAAAGACGTATCAGTAAACTAAAGGCAAAAGGCAAAAACAGTATCCAAATAGAGGGTGGGGTAGTGGCCTAATGACGTCAGTAGTAGAGAACCTGAGGTCGTCATTGGGGGAAGTTGTCAAACCTTTGGAATTTCTAACACCACATTGGGCCTTGGGAATTAGTGTCCTGAAAAAAAAATCTTACGGTTTTAAGTCTATATTCCAGCTTCAGTCTAGCCATTGGTGGGTTTGGGGGGATTTCTATTGTGGTAATTTCCCCGTGTAGCCTCACGGCTGGCTAATTTCCCTTTGTTAGAAGTAACCTCCATGAATCTCTATTTCTGATAACTTCACAAAACCTAGCACACACTTTCCTACGCCTGTTAAGTTGGGAACCAGAGTTGTACATCAAATATTTATTACTAAATAGTGGCTATGTTAGATTTCTCTCCTACTTATTCATTTCATACTTTTTGTCTAGTCTTTGAATGGATTGAGCAAGTTTAAGTAAAACGTCCCTTGGAAATGCACAGTGATTTTCTCTGGGGGGGGGCCTTTGACGAGGACTAAGCATGGAAGTGTATTCCCTTTAGGCGCCGAGATGCTGCTCAGTGAGGCGTTAGGGCTCCATATGGTGGAAACTGCTCCACGACAAGTCGGGTTTATTCCAGTTGTTGCTCCTGTTGAGGATCTTGGGCAAACCTTTTCCTATTTCTCACCTGAGTGCGGCGAGGGACTTGGGGCTGCCTGGGAACAGGTTTAAAGGAAGGTTACATTATTAATCAATACATGTGTATGTCCAGTTACCCCTGGCCAGAGATGAGTCCTCCTATTGCTCTCAATGATCCCTGGGATTTAATTCAACCTTTGTTACCTCTGACAGTGTTTTACAGTCCCCTTCTCTGGCTGCCCATCTTAGAACAGATTTCAGAGTACATTTTTGTCCTTTTCTTCCACAATATGTGAAAGGAGGCACCATTTTGCAGTTATTCGGGGTAGAATATTTTATTTTTTGAAGAGGTGAATGCTTGGATTTGTTAATAGATCTCCTTTCACAGCTATGCTGAAGGATATTTTATATCTCTGACTCATTCTTATTATATAATGAAAATATTAAGCCAATCACCAAACATCGCATCACACATAGCACCCTGCTTTTGGGGACTGTTTCTTATAGATCTGAGAGTATTGAAATTATTAATATGAATCCCTGAGCTATCCTTGCTTGAGACCAGGAACAACAAACATCATTGTTATTATTACTCTGTCAGGGATCAAACCACACTAATAACATACCTAAGATTTGCAGACTTCCCATGCACTAGACACCAGGGCACAGAATATTGATAATTTACTCAAGGACTCACAGTGAGTAGAAGATACATTTGATTCCAGAGGATGTAACCATTGCACCAGCCAGCTTTCCCAGCATCAGGCTCATGAGCTCAGGCTCCAGAAAATTTAAAAAGAACACCCATTACATTGCGTGTGAGGACCTGGAGAAGAAAGCCCTGGTGTGACCAATGAGATATTTGATCCCTCTAAATTTCCTTCTTTTTCTTTGTTTTTTTCTGTAAGCAGGAGAAGAAATAGATTATCTATATAGAAAAGGCGAAGTGACTGACTGTCCATCCATCTGACTGTCAGACCGACCCATGGACCAACTGGCTGGTACGTATGACGTGCACTGGCAATTTAAAAACAAATGTTGACTCGTGTATACATGATACATATAAAGCTCTCACGGGTGGCATCACACGTGTGTGTTTTGATCTCTTATTGTAGATCGTGAATTTGGTTGACACTTCTATTATAGAGATAGGGTAAATAGCAATATTAAAATATTTCTTCTAATTAATTTCCTTTCAATGTGCACAAATTTGTGCACCGGGCCACTAGTATTCTAAATAAGAAGCCAGACAGTCAATGCGATGTATTGATCCCCACTGTGTGGCAGCCTTCTATTAGGCATTTGCACAATGAGGTTGCAGATCAGAAAAAGTCAGGTCAGGGACCAGCTGGTGCCAAGGTGGACAGAGGCCTGCGGTTCTCCCTTGGTTTACATGAAGCTGGTCTTTTCTTTAAAGAAAAGCTATGTTCCATGCTGCCTTCATGGCTGTTTCCTGCCCTAATTAATTTTTGAGCTCTCTGTTGGATTTTAATTACAGGCCTATTAATTCATGGGGAGAATTGACAGATGCTGTAGGTTGGTTATAGCAAATTAATAGGCAGGTGTTGGGTAGACAGTCCTGAGACTGTCAGTGATTGACTCAGACCAGTTGCTATTTGGAAGCAAGGAGCACAACCCGGAATATCATTAGTTACCTCAATTTAGTTACCTGGCACTTTTATTTTTATTATTTTAAATATATATTTTTATTGATTTCATACAGGAAGGGAGAGGGAGAGAAAGGTAGAAACATCAATGATGAGAGAAAATCATTGATTAGCTGCCTCCTGCATGCCCCCTACTGGGGATACAGCCCACAACCCGGGCATGTGCCCTGACCGGGAATTGAACCGTGACCTCCTGAGCCACACAGGCCTGACTACCTAGCACTTTTAGAAAGAAGGAAATTGAGACATCACAGTTTGGGCTTATGCTTTCTATTGGAGTGAGGAAGGTGAGTTGGGGGTGCTTTGAGAAGGAATGGGAATGATACTGGGCTGGGTCACCTGGAAAGAATTGAGTCAAGTCTTGGGATGATATAATATGATGGACACCCAGGGAGTGAACACTTTATTTTTAGCAGGATTTGTCCTCAAACCTCAATATAAAACTCTAGAAAGACTGACACTAAAGAGTGTTCCCTTTTTGGCTTAGTTAATAGTCTAGAAATGTGGTTGGCAAACTGCGGCTCATGAGCCACATGCGGCTCTTTGGCCCCTTGAGTGTGGCTCTTCCACAAAATACCACGTACGGGCGTGCACTTACAGTGCGATTGAAACTTCGTGGCCCCACTCAATGGGCCATACGGGCGTGACAGTGCGATTGAAACTTCGTGGCCCATGCGCAAAAGTCGATATTTTGTGGAAGAGCCACACTCAAGGGGCCAAAGAGCCGCAGTTTGCCGACCACTGGTCTAGAACCAAAGCTGGAAAAATGGCCAAATTTTTCCCCCTGAGATTTGCTTCCAATTTTGTCCCATTGTTGGGAGAAAAAACTAGGCCAAGAGAGCTATAGTGAAACAAAAATCTCTTTGCCCTGATGCAAAGATGCCCCTCACTGCCCTGGCTTTGTCTGAGTCTAGCTCTAGGTGAAGGGAACATCAGAAAAAACATCTGGTAAACTCCTGCCATTTAAGTGCAGCCCTGGCTGTCTTGGGTGACAGATAAATCTACAGAAAGGTGAGAAAGACTGTGCTAATAAGGTGACATTTTAATGCTTTTT